TGTCGGCAATGGGTTAAACTAGTTATTGGAAAACAAAGGTGAGCATATGTTAAACACAAAACCTGTGTTTCATACACTCCTTGTCTGCTCTTTAATTAACTGGAAAATATCTACAGCAATGGATTAACCTGCATATTGTCATCTCCCTATGGCCATTGCATGTTTGTGGACGTGTTGTCAACAGATGCTAAGTTATGTCTTTTGAGATTTTGGTTTTGTAGGCACAGCATTGCTGAACTAAAGGAACACCTAAATAAAGTTGGTGGTGTATGAGCTGGCAGCAGAGAAAGTCTAGAACAGAGAGAAGAAATAGAGGGAGAGGGTTTGAGGAGGGGATAGGATGAGCTGGCCTAGTTTTTGTCAGCTGTATGTCCATAGCCATGCCCTAACAAAGAGGGGTGAAAAGAAACTATATAGAAATTCAACAAATTTTCAGGTGACGGCAAGATGGATGACTTTAAGTTTGAGGGTTTTACCATTACTTCCACTCATTTTACTTACATTCTGCATTTCACCTCTTTTGCATCATCATTTTCACCATCTCACCCACAGTCAAGTATGAAGTAAAATTAAATCAACATTGTTGCTCATCTTCCTTTTGCATTTTAGTCTTAAAACTGATTATGTTTAATTCAGTTTTCTCAAAGTTCTGTTCTGAAAGTTAATATTGTGTTTCTTTTTTTACAGACTAAAATAATGCTTTGCGATGGAGAATATAATTTTGTCCCAAAGGAACAGCAGCAGCAGCAATAGTCATTGGTTAAGTAATGGGTCTGTGACTTCCGGTGAAGAAGGAGATCAGTCCGACACAAGAGACATGGATTCCCAGGATTCTCAAGATATCAGCCTTGATGAGAAGGATGAAATGCCCAATGCCATGGAGTTTGTCAGTGTAGAATGTGATATGTTCTTAGAGCCAGACTGTGCCTTGGAAACCAGTGATCATGTGGACAGCATGGAGAGTGAGAGCAGAAGCAAGTCTAGTAAGAAGAGCAGGAAATCGTCTCGCCGCAAGAAAGGCATGTTGCCATATATTTTCCAAACAACTCTCATCACAGATCTCTTTCGCTACCGCGGAGTTGATGTGTACAGAAGAACCTGTAAGGACGAACCTTTTGTAAAAATCTACAACCCAATTGAAGGTCTTATTTCTATCAAGAGTGAGGATAGGGGTAAAAGGGAGGGTGAGGAAAAGGGTGTGTTTGAATGCACAATTTGTGGAAAGCAGTTAACCTCTAAAACAAACTGGGAGAGCCATATGACAATTCACTTTGATGGAGAGTTTTACCATTGTGAGGTGTGTCAGAAAAAGTTTACTGACAAGAAAGCTCTGATAACA